GTTTCTGCCTTGTCCTCAGTCAACAAATAACAGAATAACAAAGTTGGAAGGGACTTTGGAGGACTTGTAATTCAACCCCCTGCTCAAATAGAAAACCCTATAACATTTCAGACAAATCCAATCTCTTCTTAAAAACCTCCTGTGTTGGGGCACCTACAACTCCTGGAGACAAGTTGTTCCACTGATATGTTGGAGACCAGTCATCCTTAAGAGCAAAATTTCCCTCTCATTCTGATACCATCCAATGACAACTTCAAAGTGTGTAATATCTGTTAGACTTTGACACCCATTACTCTGGAGAGAAATTAGCCTTCTCCGGTAACTGGAAAGAGACAGAGGATATGAATCAGTGATGAAGACAGCAAAAAATGTAAATAAGAAATGTCAGTATAGCTTTCTACCAACTCAAATCATTCATGAGTGACCCGGAATGATACTTTGTAGGATTAAAAATGCTTTGTGGTTCAGAAATTTATGAGCTGTTGTTCTTTGATTAGAAAATCCCTATTTAAAGTTGTTACATTTTCTTGAATTACTAGAGTGTTATGCATTTCTTTGGCTAGTGATTTTCCTAACTTTGTGCAAGAAGTTCTTTTAAAAATAATTATTCTGTCTCGAGGTTTTTCTGGGTCAGGCAATGTTAGAATATCTGGTGGAATTCTCTCTGAAGTCCTTCCAGTAAAGACTGCAGAGGGAGTATGCCAAATCAGCACATTCTCAGCTGTTTTTGCCAGCCACTTTTCTAAGCTTCCCATGATTTTTATTTTAGGCTGCTCTGTGTCAGTGAATGGTGCCGTCTTCCCAGGAAAGCACGTTCCCTGAAGCAAAAACACAGGGATAATATTTGCATAGTAATTTTATTAAATGCTACAATACAAAGATAAAAACTAATATTTTTTTTAAAAAAATACAAAAATACAAAATGCAAATAATATAAAAGAAAAGGAAAATAAAAAGTAAGACAAAGAAATATATGATTTCCCCTTTCTTCACAATTATAGTAACTTAACATTCTCTTAAAATACAGCAAATAATATCTTCTTCCCATATTTCATCTCCCATCTATAAACAATCCTTCAGATAGCCTCCTTGTTCAATTCCAATCAGCAAAAATGAATTACAAATTACAGAGATAATATTATCTATTTTAACCTAGATCAGATAAACCATGTTTATATTCCTTCAGTTTATGTTGATTAGTAGAGCTGGGAAATACTTTGAATTTCATTATGGAAAGGTCTTTTGTAGCGTTTGGGAGCACAAATGCATCGTCTATCTATGAGTCACTAAAGAAGCAGCATTTAATGAGCAGCATTCACTACTGTTTCCCATGCAGTCTAAAGCATTGCACAATTCTTTTGTTTGTTAACTTCTACAATAATGATGAGAATCAGCAGGACCCAATAGAGAGATGATATAACATAGATCAGTATGTCTTATGTTATTGCATCTAATTAGATACTACCTACGTTGACATCTAATATTTTGGAAGCCTCTTGCTAGGAATGGAATTAGGGAGTGTTGGGGGGGGGGCGGGGTTAATGAAAAGGGTACATTCTATTACTGAGTTATGGTGCTTAGGATGAAAGCCTTAAGGAATAACTAAGTAGTTTAGGGCTAGTGGCTATACTTCTGTCTATCTCCTATAAATATGAATTATAGCCCAAACTGAATGGGAGAGGGAAAAAAGTTAAGGAAAGAAAAAGTTATGAATAACCTGTTTTTCAGTCTTTATAGCCAACCAATGACAAACGTGGATTAAGAAAATTAGAGTAAAACATCATAGCAATATCTCAAAAGTGCTTTTTCAAAAGGCAACTGAAGCTTCTTCAGTTCTGACTGACTTTGGCGGGAACTGAAGAAGTCTTGGATGAGAAGCGAAATGTCTTCAAGGAAAAACAAAGTCCAGTTGCCTTTTGAAAAAAGCCCTTTTGAGACAACCATAAACTGGATGGCTGAGAATCTCCATAGACATCATAGCAATATGACCACATTAAGAAACTATTTTGCCCGAACAGAGGTGAGGATATATGCCTGGTTACAGTGGAGCATGTTCCCTGATTTTAAGTTCATTGTGACCATGAGAACCAAGAAATGGATTGACTCTGCATCACACAAGCAGTTCAGGAAGTAGAACCAGAGCAAAATTTCCATGATTGCATAGCTTCATTTGATGCTGGAGCCCATCCAACAGGGCTATTGATAAATGTGTGCTACAATTGTTCTCTCTTCAAGAGGATGAAGCAATTAAGCTCTCTCCAGATCAGTAAGGAGATGGAAATGAGACTGGCTTGCAGACTATCTGAAGGCCTTATCATCTTTCTTGCTCTCATCCCTGTCAGGGATTCTAATCAGGTAGCTGGGATTCCATCTAAATAAAACTGAAGCAACAATCATAAAGTAATATTTATTGCCTGTTGGCATTGCCAGTTTCATTCCTTCTTTATGTTGCACTGTTTTTGAAGATGGCTGCTGAATCATCTTTTGGCTAGCAGCCAGCTAATTCCTGCAGTTCTGGCTATCTTTGGGAAGTTGGGATACTACCTTGGCAACTTATGCCTACTTATCCTCAAGTGAATCCATTAAAATAAGGGTCAGGTTTCACAGGTTTGACTTCTTTCGATTCATCTCTAGCCAAAGAGGCTCAACTATAGATACTTGTCACAGAGAAGTGGACAGTGTTATAGGGGACATATATTCTAGCCCTCCCACATTCATTTATTATTTCACCTTGTTAATTTGCTACTTAGCATGAGCTTCACAGTTGCTTGCAACAAGCTATTTTTATTCCTTTGATGTAAGTTTCTCTTCTGCAGGCTTTTAGTGCCCTGCTTTCAGGGGGTTTGTACAATTACTCAAGTATAAAATTCGTTGCCTTTATCCATAACAGGAAGCCTTGCTAACATTTTTATCTCATAATTATGTAAGTACAGTTATATATTACGAATTCCAGAAAGGCCAAAACAAGAATAACAGAATGCTACAATATAAAGGAGCAATATATTATTTTTTTAATGTGATTTACAGTGTTAGTGTGTGCCCATATAAAGATTATAGGATTCAGTTTCTGTTGGAAACTCTTTGTCTCTCTTTCAGCTGGAGCCGGTTGGCTATAAGCAGCCATATAAACATTTCACAAAGGAAAGGCTGAAGCTCAAGTGTCCAACCTCAGTAAGTAGCAAGTTAGCTCCTTTAAAACTCTAAGTCTGTAACATGAACATAAAAGCACAAGAAAGGTCCTTCTGAATCTGGGTGAAATCTAAAAACCATCTGGTTCAATATCCAGGCAAAGCAGACGCTTCTTGGAAGCTGATAAGCAGCACCTAAGCCTCTTTCCCACATGGAGCCATTAATTCCAAAGGTAGTACATATTTACCATATCCTGGTAACTGTTAGACTCAGTAACTATGTTTTCACCTCGCAGTTTGAATCCGTCCAACAAGCCCCCGCGTTGAAAACTTTTTAAATGATAAACTAGATCTGATGTTTCTGGTATGGGAGCACTGCTGTGCAGGATTTATTTAAAAAATAAATAAATCCAAACAGCCAAATTAGACTGTTTTCTTCTTTTTCCTTCTCCTCCTCCTGCTCCTCCCCCTTTTCTTCAAAATGCCAGGGATATTTGCTGATAGTTCATCCAGACCAAATCTCCCATTTTTTTAAAAAAAAATTCAATTAGCTTTTCATTGTTTTTAATAAACAAAAGAAAAAGGAGAAAAACAAAATGATGATAGAAATACATACATTGTCAAAGAAAAGAAGAAAGCATGCATAAAATGTGCTTTTAGCAAAAAAGTGAAAGAAATATGACAAAGGAAAAAATGATGTATGTCATTATAACGAACAGTTGCAATTCTATATATACTTATCTAATGCTTATCTACATATAGTACTATATGTAGATATTTTAATAGTTTTATGTAACTTCTTTTTGACCTATTGTATACTGTATAAAAGACTCCCAGATTTCATTATACTTGTCCATATAAAATCTCCATCCGTTCATAGGCAATTCGTTCATTAGTGGCAAAGCCAATCATGTCTTAATCCACTGTTTTGTTTTTTCATTTTTAACAGCCTCCAGCAATTATTAAATTGGGACAAATTATTAACACTTTCCAGTCATATTTTTCCCAATTAATATTATCATGCCTGGTTTTTAGAATGGTTCTATCCCATATAGAAGAAGTACATACTATGAAATTTCCCTAAAGTTGTAAATATTTCTGAATGAGAGAGGAAGAGACAGACTGAGTTCACAGACTACAGCAAATAGTCTAAAAACAGATGTCAGAAACAGTTTTATGGAAGTGGGTAATAATGTACAATACAATGGGAAAAGAAGCCTGTGCAAAAAGTGAAGCTTTTTAGCATGAGTAAAGCATCACAGAGAAAATAATGATAATAAGAAGAGTTAAGACAGTAATGAAAAGAATGGACCATCTCCAGGCATCAGTAGTAAAAAATTCTCCTTACCTGTATTTCATTTGTGTTAAAGTAAAATTTAAATTTATTAAAAAGTGCCAATCCACCATGAGATTTATGCAGTATATGAACAATCTGCCTGCCTAAAAATTTAGGTAGTATCAAGACTAGTATAACCTCTTCAAGTCATATTTGTCCCACTTCTAATGGAGGCACGGCTAGATCTTCTTTTCAGGAAAAAAAAAAAAAACATCAGGAAAGGATGCCACAGAGCTGAGAAGGATTAATTTTTTTAAAAAAGGCCTGGGATTTGCTTGTAAGCAGGATACTAGTAGGGCCTGGTAGAGAAAGGGAAATCTGCTACAATAACGAATGAAAGATGACAGCAAATGAAGAATAGATACGTTAAGAACGGAAAGGATTTAAGCAATTATGTATACCATTATGCTGATATAAGTACAGGGATTGAGGATAATTACATTAACCACATTTTTGCCGTAAAATCCTTCTTAATATATTTAATGATGTTTATTTAAATTTGCAATGATGTTTACTTAAATTTGCATAAGTCTCACCTGGATAGGAGAAGTTCCATCCCCATTTTATTGCTTTGCTATTGAGAAGAAATGTTTACTCTCTCATACCCTCAGAATAGAGCAATCTGTCATAAATAGACCAATCTCTAAAGGTTTTGTAAATGTTTTCTTTCTGCTGTAGGAATACCCATATCTTTTCACAACAAGAAACAGCCAGATGCACAATTCAGTACTGGAAACAAAGTCCAATGGAGACAGCATACCTTACTGGGCTGTGATTATAGCGGCCACAGCTGGAATTTTGGCAGGATCCCTGATTGTTTGGGGTCTGATGACTCATAAAATCAACAAACACTCAAGGGCAAGAGATGCGGCAGCTGAAGAGAAGACAACGTTTTAAATGTGCATCTGAGCCAAAGAGGTTTAACATATGCTACCTCTAGTGACATGAAAAAAGCAACATGGAAGCTTTGCACTTGCTATTTTTAACTACAGTTTTCCATCTAAAAGTGGAATAAATGATCTCATCCCATCTTGAATAGCTAGACCTAGTGAAAGCTAATGCTTAGCAGTTATTAAACGTGGGAAATATAAAGAGATCTTACATGGCAAATAAAAAAATAATATATGTAATCTCCTTTTCCATTAAATACAGTATCACTTTTTCATAACGTTGTAATTATCCAGTTTTGTGCCTCTTACGAGATTTTATCATGTGTCTAGATCACATTGTCTCCCCTTTGTGATTCCCTTGCCATCTCTCTAGTTGTAATCCTCTCCGTCTTTTCTCTTAGCTCAGAAGGTAAACCTGAAATAACTGCACAATGAATTTGGAATGGTAGTTCACAGGTGCTCTCCACATGGAAGCATCTATATTTTTTGTTGGTGTAACGAAGATGCCAAGTTTCCAGTGTTACTAATTTGTCCCCTGTAACAGGGTATTCCACTGGATTCATAAGATTCAATAAATACTATCATACAACCCTTCTGGATTCTCCCCCCCACCCCCACCCCCGGTCACTTATTACAGATATAGCTAGCAGCACTCTTTCATTTTGTTTTCTCCAGCCTAGTTCTATTAGCAAAATTCCCATTTGGATAATGATAATGCTCACTTTCTTCACCTGTTGATAATGCTGCTTCTTGCCTTTCTAAATTGCCTTCAAGAGAAGACATTTTCCCTTCTTCTCTTGAATATTATAGTCTAAGGCAGGGGTGTCAAATGTGCGGCTCACGGGCCAGATGCTGGCCACATGCTGGCCACGCCCACCTCCGGTTTAGTGAAGGGGAAAAAAGTGTTGAATTGTCCTGTGGCAAGTTATCCTGTGGCAAATTGGCTGTAGTGAGTTGGCTGTGACGAGTTGTTCTTGCAAATAGAGAAATGGATTGCCCACAAACTTCACTGAACTGCAATTCTGCACAGAAAATAGTTTCATTGCAATCTGGAATATATTGCAGTTGATGCAAATAAATCTTAGCACCATTAATATGGTAAGATCACAAAGAGTTGGTGATGTTTTTAATCTGGGATAGACTGAAAAATAACAGTTTGAATGCTTTATTTGTGTATGTAACACTCAATTACACAACTGGGCTATAAGTGTAGCTAATTGTTTTTAGCAATTCATTCCCGGATTAATTTGCTGATGACACAACAGTGAGTGTCTCATTTGAGACGACGAATCCGCATACAGACAGGAGGTCATAAACTTGCCTTGTGGTGTAACTGGAACAATCTGGAACTGAACACACTCAAAACTGTAGAAATGGTGGTAGACTTTAGAAGAAACCCTCCCATACTATCACCTCTTACAATACTAGACAACACAGTATCAACAGTAGAGACCTTCAAATTTCTAGGTTCTGCTATATCAAGTGACCTAAAATGGACACCTAACATCAAAAACATCATCAAAAAAGCACAACAAAGAACGTTCTTTCTGCGCCAACTCAGAAAGCTCAAACTGCTCGAGAAGCTGTTGATACAGTCCTACAGAGGAATTATTGAGTCTATCATCTGCACCTTTATAACTGTCTGGTTTGGTTCTGCAACCCAATAGGACAGACCCAGACTTCAGAGGATAATTAGGACTGCAGAAAAAACAATTACTACCAACCTGCCTTCAGTCAAGGACCTGAATACTGCACGAGTCAAAAAGAGGGCTGTGAAAATATTTACAGACCCCTCACATCCCAGACATAAACTGTTTCAACTCTTTCCCTCAAAACGATGCTATAGAGCACTGCACACAAGAACAACTAGACACAAGAACAGTTTTTCCCCCAAAAGCCATCACTCTGCAAAACAAATAATTCCCTCAACACTGTTCAACTATTACATTACTGATAATCTTCTCATTGCTCCTTATCACCCATCCCCTCCCACTTGTGACAGCATGACTGTAACTTTGTCACTTCTATACTTACGATTTATATTCATAGTTTCCTAGTATGATTTGATTGCTTATTGTACCCTATGATTATCGTTAAGTGTCGTACCTTATGATTCTCAACTCTTAACAAATATATCTTTTCTTTTATGTATACTGAGAGTATTTACACCAAGACAAATTCCTCGTGTATCCAATCACACTTGGCCAATAAAGTGTTCTATTCTATTCTATTCTATTCTATTCTATTCTATTCTATTCTATT